TTTGGTAAAAGTAGCTCGTAAGAACGGGGGGATTCCAAAACCGCGCCGTATGTACGAGTGTCCGAGGGGGAATGTAAGGAAGGGGCGTGGGTTCAAACAAAGAAAAGTGAGAGGCAGCTGAGGCGGACGGGAGAAATGAAAAGGGGGAACAAAGGAAGATGCAAAGGTAAACAAGGAGGATATACACAAATGGAACAAAATAAAACAAGAAAAAAAAGCAAAAAAAGCAAACCAAGGGAGGCAAAGGTAAAAATGGTAAAAGAAAAGGATGGGGCAAAAAAACGGGAAAAAAAAAATAGAAAAAAAAGAAAGAAAAAAAAAACAAGAAAAAAAAATCGAACCCTATAGCTTATTCAAACGAAACTATAAGCACGCATAGACGTAACGTACATGCGTACATATATAGGGACATAATTCTACAGGCAGAGATATGCATGTGGCACACACTGCACAAAAACGAACACCTTCGGGTGAATAAATGTGGAACATACACATGTGCGTGCACGTCAGTACACCTACGCGACATGGATATATGTGTACACAAACTCTGCGAATGATTTTTCTTTCTTTTTTTTTTTTCCTTCCCTTTCTCTTTAGCACACAACGTATGCAAAGGTAGGCGACGTTACAAATGGTGTGTCGTGAGAGGAGAAAAAAAAAGAAAAGAAAAACAGAAAAAAAAATCAAACACAGATAAACAAAATGATCAAATGGGAAACTTAATTCTCTTCTAAGAATGCAAAAAAAAAAAAAAATAATAAAAAAAAAATAAAGGGGGGAAGAAGCATTAAAAGGAAAGTACGAATTAGCTTCTTCTTTTCTTTTCTTCTTTTTTTTTAACACAAATCTACGTTTCAAATATGTTAATGTAGAGATATACACCAAAAATATTATTTTTATATGAGTGGGAATGCAAATGGGAAAACATGAGGAAAAAATTTGGGTGTGTCGGGGGAGAGTTCCTCCACCGTCAACTGGTTCGCGGTGAAGCGATCAGCAACCGGCTACTCTGCGTCAACCGGTCAGCGGTCGGCTGCCTTGCGTCACCTCGTCAGCGGTCAACTGCCTACGTTTCGAATTGCTGTAAAAATTAATAGGCACATATGGGGGAAAACGAGCTCGCACACGTACGTAATTCACCAATACACGTAAGTTACCTTCACGGGAAGGAAACAAAATAAAGGTGCGAACGTCGTTTAACATATGAGTAGGCAGAGATCACATGTAGGCACATACGCACGTGTTCATACGCATGTACAGATATGGCGATAATACATATGGCGATATATACATATGGCGATATATACATATGACGATATATACATATGACAATACATACATATGCCAATATATACATATGCCAATATATACATACGTACTTGCACGTACATACGTAGGCACGCCCATTAGCCGCGCACCTTGGCCGAAAATGCCACGGAGGCAGCAGCTCCCTAATAAATAAGCTTTGTTTCTACGTACACGCAGAGAGGAACGCGCTGCTGAACGTTTGCATACGCGCATAATACATGCCACGTAAGCTCGCTCAATCGCTCAATGGCCCAATCGCGCAATCGTCCGTTCGCTCGTAACGTACGCATAAATATAAATACATTCACATAGGGGTGTAATGAAAAATTCTTGTGAGAATTTGCAAAAAAAAAAAAAAAAAAAAAATTTCCGCCAAAAGAAGCTTAAAAACAAAAAATGAAAAAGAATGTAAAAAATGAAGAAAAAAAAAAAATCCCTTCATGAGAATTTTGTTAAAAGGAAAGAATATAACACGATTTGGTTTACGTCCCGAGCTGGCCAAGTGCGTACCCGTTTCTCCGCGTACATGTACACGGCGTATGTACATAGGGGTGAGAGCCTGATCAGAAGTTTCCACGACGCATGTGCGAATCTGTTGGGGTTACATTTCCTGCGGGGTACCCCTGGTGGGGGTACATTTTCTGAGAACGCCTTCCTAACCGCTGTGCACTTGGCGATCTGCGCTATTGCAACCTTGTCGGGAAAAAAATTGCCTCAATGGTAAAATTAGCCCCGTGGGACACCCAACGGGGTCAGGTAAACTCTGCTACGCGTACACCACCCATTTCGCAGTGCATACCACCGCTCATAAATGGTGTGAACGACGCATTGGGGATGTAAGTAAAACCCATGTTGAACTGAACGCGTGAGAAAGGCCAAGGGGGCAGGGGAGAAGAATCCAAATTTTTACGCACAAAAAAATTGCCTATGCTTTCCTACGCATGTTGATGCTCTATAGCTGTATTGTGAGCAGCACGCTCAGAACAAAGGAAAAAAAAGAAAAAAAAAAAAAATAAATAAATACATAAGGTTGTGCTAAGGGGCGACGGGCTGTCCCAATAGGCACATTTTTTTTACATGGCGCCACGGTAAATCGGAAAGGATGATCTCGAGTTGGGTCTTTAAAAAGGGAGAGCTGAAAGGGGCAAGTTCCTACCCACGCGTATGCATATACGAGTCTACATGCCTTTGTGCGCCCCTCCACGCTTGTCGCGCCACACCAACGCAAAATGCTTTTAAAGGCGAACAAAACGCTGCACGACTTCCCCTTCCACCCCTACTGGTTCGGCCGAAAGCCCAGCATGAAAAATATCATTGACAGCAACTTCACCTTCAGCTGCCTCGAGGAATTCTACCTCTTCCGATTCGCAAACATTACTACCTTTAATTTACTAAATCTAAATCACTCCAGCGATAATTATGCTAATGTCTGGTTTGACAACCTGGACAATTTAATTAAGTGTTTTCAAATTAAGTGGTCGTCAAACAAGTCCAAAATCCGTTTGTACGAAAGCTACCTGCACGCCAAGTACCCAGTCAATGACACGTTTGATTATAGGAACCCGCGCCGTTTCTACTGATCGGGGGCGTGCGCAGTGACGTGTACGGGTGAGCAGTGACGTGTACGGATGAGCAGAGACGTTTACGCATGAGCAGTGACGTGTACGTATGGGGAAACCCGTGTAGGAACGCCCCCACACAATGGACGAGGGCGCCAGGAAGAAGCCGGCGAAAGCCAGCCACCAAATAAGGCTAGCCCAGGTCCACGAACTGAAGGCACTTGCGATTGAGGAGTACGAGGAATACCTAAAATTGGTGAGGAATACCGAATGGCATCAGCAAAAGTTGCAGCAGAACTGGGCAAAGTTTCACCTTTTTTACCAGCAGAATGGATTGGCCACGTTTGGGCATAACGCGCGGAAGAAGAAAAAGAAGGGGAGGGAAAACAGAAAAAACGAAGAGGATAAAAAAAAAAAAAATAAAAATAAAAAAACTCACCCCAAGTATTCCTCCCCTTCCACTCGATGCGCAAATTACGACGATTACCAATCCATCGAAGACGACTTAAAAATAATTAAACGGAGAGAAAGGCAAAACAGCTGCTACTATTTCAAGGCAAATAACAACAATGACAATAGCAAACATTTCATTTTACACATTTTAAAGGATATTCCTCTCGCGCTGGAACTATACATAAATATTAAAATCGAGGCAATCAATAAAATAAAAAATAATGTACTCACTGATATGGACCATTTTTGCAAAACCAGAATGAACAAAATTATTCTGCTCATCCTCCTGTGTGAAGTCAAATTAAACAATCTGTATATTCGCCAAAAGGATGTTTGCCATGGAGAAAATAACGTGGACATTCGCTTAACAGGAAATATAATTCGCCTTTGTCATAGCGTTATAGAGGAGGTCACCAGAAAGTTAATTCCTTTTTTTTTTTCCTTCAACATATTTTCCCCTCCCGATTATTTTAATTACCGCTTTGAGCACTTCCATGGAATTGTAGAGGGTATCGTGCCCATTGGCTGAGTTGGTTTCCCAGCCTCTGCGACGCGTTGTGTGTGTGTGGGGAGATGACTCGCCTGTGTGCGCGCTGTGTATTCGCCTGTAAACCTACACGGTGTGATTGATTCACGCCCGTGTGTGTCCCAGGGGTCTCCCACATATATATGTATATATATACATATATATTTTCTCTCCCCCCGTGAAGGTCGACCGTATCATTGTTACTGCGCCCCTCTCTCGTTTTACGCCTCTATGTTTTCACCGCAAGGGGCACAGAGGTGTATGTGCAAATGGGACTTCCCCCGCTTGCGTATTTGTTTCTTTTTTCGAAGCGTTCATTTTTTCCTCTTTTCCTGATTGCTTAATTTGTTGCTTAACTTGTTGCTTAATTTGCTGCTTGCTTTCCTTTCCTCTTTCCTCTTTCTTTTTTTTTTTTTTCCTTCCCCCCGTTCAACACAAAAATCCCCTCCCACGGAGGGCAAACGCGTACAAGAGCATAAATAACTAGCAGAACCGACTGAGCTCATCTGTGAACCCGCAAACGTACGCGCTTCCTACTCGTATGCACATCCCTACTGTTTCGTACATTTTCTAACCCCCTGGTGCTGCTCTGCATGCGAGGTGACACATGGGATGAATGGAACGCAACGAATATGCGCGCCCTGCGATCCGACGGGCCATAGCTCTAATGGTATCACTGATACGAGACAAAGGGAATTTTTTTACCCCAAAAAATTCTGTATCTGAGGAGCCGTCGAATAAAATTGTTTCGCTCTCCCATCATCGCGAAGGAGAAAAAAAAAAGATAGGGGGATAAGAGGCGGAAAAATGTGCAGCTAAACGCGGCCGTGAATTATTGTATAGTAAAAAAAAAACATACATACGTAATGCGCAAATAATACATAGGTGCCGCTTGCAAACAGCGCACATATGAACTACAGAAGAATTTACGCAGGAGTGTTCTTCTCCATCGTAGCCAAATTTTCGAACCCCTCGGTTCACGATTTTATTCACCTGAAGCTGAAGGGCGAAAAGGCTACTTCCCTAAGTGGCAGTACAACATATGCTTTTTGCCACAGGGGGGGAAGATCAAGAAGGCATTTTAAAACTGCACGCGAAAAAAGGAGAGTGTCCAGCCGGCTCTACAAATTCAGCCTCTTTGGAGGAAGAGCACACTTTCACAGAGATAGAAAACTTGAGGGGAAATTCTTTGCCAGCAATTCCTTTGCTATGGGTAAAGACCAACCCTTTGTGGTAATGCGGAAGAGACACAGAAGTGGGGTGGAGAAGGGACCATCGCTTTGTCCCGCCCTTTTGCTTGCTCATTTAGCTAGCTCACTTTGTTCTCTCGTTTTACCCCCTCATTATGCCCACTCATTCTTCTCGCCCATTTTGGCCACCCACCCTTTAGATATTCATGCTTGGAGGGCCAGGCAGCGGAAAGGGAACGCAATGCAAATTGATCCAAGACAAATTTGACTTTGTTCACATCAGCGCGGGTAGGATTGTGCTCGTTAGTCACCTCAGCGGCCAAATTGTCCATTTCCAATTTGGCCCTGCCAAATGGATCCCCCCCACATGTACCTTATTTTTTTTTTTTTTTTTTCCTCCTCCTCTTTAAGGTGACTGCTTGCGGGAGTACCTAATAAAATGCGAGAAGGGCCAAGTGGACACGAAGCACCAGGCTGTTGTCGAGGATTGCATAAATAATGGTTCGAACGATAAGACGCACACGAGGGAGGCTCTCCATTTTCAGGGCCACTATGCATGATACGTTGTTATACGTGATTTTAGATGCCTATTTTTTGCTCTCGCTTGGGTAGCAAGCTGATCAGCACGCAGATCGGGGCGGAGATCGGCGCGCGGACCTGCACACGAGACGCACCCCTTCACTCCGTCATGTCGCTTCCCCACTCCGACAGGAAAAATAGTGCCCGTGCAAATCACCCTAGAACTGATGAAAATCAAAATGGAGAACGAAATTGAAAAGAGGAAGAAGCAGGAAAAGGAGGAGCAAACCAAAACGGGGGAGCAGACCAAAACAGGGGAACCGACCAACCTCCCGGACCAAGCGGAAAAGAAAAGTTTCTCATTCGACGTGTTCGATGACAGCATCAAGTTAAAAAACGCTAACCTTGATTACGATCACGAGAAACTGAAATACCAAAATGGCATACACGAAAACGAACAAGTACAGGAAATCTTGCAGAGAAATAAATTTGAGCAAAAGGCAAAGTACAAGTTTATAATTGATGGATTTCCGAGAAATTACGACAATTTTGATGGTTGGATGAGCGTAATAGGGACCTACGCCTACGTGCACTTGTGTCTGTTCCTTTACTGTGACGAGGACACGATGATTAAGCGGTGCATGAACCGGGGGCTTATGTGCGGTAAGTCGGCACAAAGCCGTAGCGCGGCGGTGGAATCGCCTGTCCGTTTCGCCCCGTTTAGCTTCACTTAGCTTCTCCCCATTTAGCTGCACTTAGCATCGCCCCTTTTTCCCCTCCCCACAGGCAGAGTTGACGACAACATGGACACCCTGCGGAAGCGCTTCCAGACGCACAAAAACGGCTGCATGCCAATCATCAACATTTTTTTAAATGAAAACAAATGCATCTTCATCAATGCAAATAAAAACATTGAAGACGTTTGGAAAGACATACAGTACGTCTTCACGAATATGTAGTAGTCCGACTGCCCGAAGGAGGTCCTGTCAAACGCGGTGGGTCTAGCGGCCTATCCCCGCAAGGATAGAAACCATTTGTCCTGATAGAGAAACCATTTGTTCTGCTAGAGAAGCACTCTGTTCTGCTAGAGAAGGCCTCTGTTCTGCTAGAGAAGGCCTCTGTTCTGCTAGAGAAGGCCTCTGTTCTGTTTTTTAGCTGCACGAAGAAAAGTTTCTCTGTCTTCAATTTTTCCCTTTGTGTGCACGAACTATTTTTTTTTCTATATCTTTAAGTGTGTAGCTTTTTTTTTCTTTTTTTTTTTCCCCTCCAATGCCTCCTTTTTAGATGCCCCCTGCCCCCACGCCGCCAGCTCGGGCAGCGTCCAACTTGATGTATATATATAAACCTACGTGCTTGTGCGCGTATGTAGAGGTGAATGTTTTTGCGCACCGTGCCTATGCACATGTGTGTATGCGTTTATGTGACCATGCGTGTATGTACACATATATACACTGTAGGTTAACGCATATGCATCTTCATACCGTGTCGTTATTTATACACGCCTGTGCATGTGCATCCCCGTCGCTGCATTTTTTCTTCCCCAAAATGTCACAAAACACGCGTGTCGCACATACCTTGCCGAATGGTAGACTCTCGCACCTTTCCCCCAACCTGTTTTGTCAATTCTTTTTTAATAACAACCCGCCCCCTTTTAATTTCGTTATGTTTGGTTAGAAAGGTAAGCCGTAAAGGGAGCGCAGCAGCGAGGGGTGTACTTATGCACACGCAACTATGGCAAAAATGCGGCCAAAATGTGGCAACCGTTACAGCGAATTTGACTGAGGATATGCAGAGATCCCCCCTCCTGGGGAAACGAATCCCGTTGAGAGTCAGAGCTGCTTCATCTTTCCCCACCATGACGAACCGACAGAAGACACACTTAAAAGGGGTTCCTTCTTTTTGCTTAGCTTTGAAGCGTTTATATATACATATATGTATATATATTTGTATTTTTTTTTTTTTCCCCTGAACTGTGCAGGTGAAAAAAGTCACGTTCAGATTGTGTGCACAAAAAATGGGGGCAAAAGGGGGTGAAGAAAACAAAAAAAAAGGAAGCACTGTGGGGTTGCTATTTACATGGGTGCCACTACAAGTGAAGCTACGCCTGTGGGTACCTATGCAGATAGCAACCCCCCACGTGACACCGGTGTGATGGCTGCAAAATGGTCCACCCTTCGGGTGAAAAAAAAATGTGTGCAGCCACGCACGCAGGGACGTTGTGTGCAGATACATACCCACGGTGGGCATATCTGTGCGAACTCCGCACATGTGCAAAAAAAAAACTCCAGAAAGAGGAAGGCGTCGGCCTTCACTATCAATTTGGATTATGTGGATGTGGTCCTCCCCGAATGATGCGCGGTGGATACGCAGCGGTTTTGCGAGACAGCCGCTTTGTGAGGAAGCCCCTTTGTGAGGAAGCCCCTTTGTGAGGAAGCCACTCTGCGATGAAACCGCTTTGTTACGTAGCGATGATAACACCGCTTCACACCGTCGTCGCAGCCCTCCACTCCGTCGTCACACCGCTCCACCCTAGAGGGACGCGCCGGCGACGCAGGACTGCTCGTAAAATTTCTGACCTGCCTTATTGGTCTCGCGCCAGTGGTAGAGGAAGTTCTTGAAGAGCTCCGTCCGCTGCTCATGGTTCAAATTTAAGTAGTTACTCACCTGCTGATTTATTTCTTCGTCTGAGTTGATTATAAAGGGATTGCTCTCTCGTTCAGTTCCATTTGGCTGATTAAATATATTTTTTTTATTTTTATTTTTCAGTCCATTTTCAAGTTCGTCAATTTTACAGTGTAATAATGTCTTATCACTTAGGAGGACATTTTTCTCATTTTCAATTTTGGAGTTTTCCAACCGAAGTCCATCAATTTGATCTACAAGAACAACTTTCTCGTTGTTTAAAATTTCGATTTGATTTCTCAATTCGTTAATTTCTTTATTCAGATTGAATTCATTTTGTGCAATTTTTCTCAACTGCTGATTTTCATTTGCAACTTTATTCATTTCCATTTCGAGATTGTTGTTTAAGTCGATTAACGTCTGTACATTTTTATTTAAATTTGATATTGTTCCCTCGGAGCTATTTTTAACTCGGTCCAATTTCTCGTCATATGTAATGATAATATTCCTCAGTTCCTCAATTTTTATGTGGCTGTTTTTTTCTCTTTTCAACGTTTCCTTTAGTAAATCCGAAACCTTGTTGTAGCTAATTCGTATTTTATTAATCTCCTCGGTGCTCTTTTTTCTATTTCTTTTTAAGCACTCGCAATAACTTAGGAGCTCTTGAAACAGGTACACGATGTCTTTTTTTTTTTCTGTGAAACATTGGGATGATATGTTCAGGTATTCCAGACTGCCTTCGTTGTTGTTCCCACCCACGGACGCTCCCACGGACGCTACTCCCACCTTACCGCTCATGGTGCTTCCGTTTTGGAGAAAGTTCACGGTGCCTATGCTGGGCGTGTTGACGTTGTTCCCCTGCAGAGTCAGGCTGCTGCTCACGCTGCCGAAGTTGTTCCCGCTGCTGAAATTGTTCCCGCTTGGCGCGCGAAAAGTCCCATTCGCGCTGCAGAAGGGGTACTCCCCCGCGCCTCCTCCACCGTACTCCGTGCCCCCAGCGGTGTACTCCCCCACACCGCTGCAGTAGTGTCCCCCTGTATGGGAGTACTCTCCCCCCGAGACGGCATACTCCGCCGCGCCAAAGCTGTGCGAGGAGGACACAGGCGCGGTGCTGAAATTTACGCTTCCATGGTTGACGCCAGGCTTGTCACTATTCAAAGACAACAAAGTCTCTTTGCCCTTCCAAATCGTTCCACTAAAACTATCCGCGTTCCTCTGATCAGAGCCTCCAACCCAAGCACCATTGTTGTGCAAAGTGCCATTCGAGGCATACTCGTCATTCCCATTTTGGCCGATTCTGTTTGCAATTTCCTTTTTTTCATTACTTGTGTTTACGCAGTTTTTTATTGGCGTGAAAAATACAGCCTGCCTCATGAGGTAGCTGTTTTTTTTGGGATCGCTCTGGTAGCAGTTCATGGTTTGATGGGTTGGCAGTTGGGTTGGCAGCTGGGCTAGCAGCGGAGAAAGCGCCGTTTCTCCCGGTTTGTGACCCGGCAGGTTGAGCGGTTTGTCGACTCGTCTGTCTCCCAGCGCGTCTCCCAGCGTGCCTGCCAGTGTGCCTCCCGGTGTGCCTCCCACCCTGTCGCTTAACTTTTCATGAGCGGGGACGCTACACGTGTTTCCAGACGAGTTCGCTATTTCACTTGGGCCTTCCTCCGAATGGGGGGGGACCGTTCTGGTAGGGTCGTCTGCCGGAGAACGGGTGTCAATGCAGGGGTGCCTCTCGCTGAGGTTTCGGCTTGAGCTGCGGCTTCGATCTGCCGCTTGATCTGCCGCTTGATCTGCCGCTTGATCTGCCGGTTGACCTCCCGCTTGAGCTTCGCTTCGACTTCGGCTACGACTTCCCCCCTGGCTTCCGCTTTCGTTTTTTACTTTTATCGCGTGGTGCGCATCGTTCCAAGTTGCCTTCCGTGGAACTTCCTCTCCGCCTTGTGATCTGCACGCTTCGGGGTTGCCTAAGTTTTGGGTTCCTTCCTCAATATTTTGAGATGAACTTCTTTGCCTGTTTTTTTTTTTCGACTGGTAAAATGCCATTCTTTAACTGAAGTTGAAATTTTATCAACTCGGAGTGCTTTTCCGTTTCGTTTCCTTTTTTTTTTTTTTTTTCTGTTCGAGACAGAGTCTCCTTTTATTATTTATTTTTTTTTTCCAAGCTAGGTC